GGCTTATCGGGTGTCTGCATACCCCAACATCACACTTTAAGTCGCCTCGCGATGTGCTGACGTGAAAGGATTCCCCTGCCATTTCCCACTAAGACGGACCCGTGCGTGCCGAACTGAGAGCGCATACGCGACCTCGGGGAGGGCAGCATCGTCGCCCCCCCCCCCCCTCCTTTCTTCAACCGGCTCCGCCTGAGCCCGCATCAATCGCGTCTGCCATGGAGCCGGTATGCTTGTGACCAGTGCCAGTCCCGGTCGTCCAGGAGCACAGGAGCACCTCCGACCACCGTTCCCACGCCAACAACGCCGTCAGCTTGTGGCGAGTGCTGACCAAGCGGTGACGCGCTCTGCTTTGGCCGGCTCACGCCGGGCGCGAGCTTGGCGACAGAGAGCGACCGGTCAGCGCCAGTAAGCTGCGTTCAGGGCCGGGCCGGGTGGCAGAGCAGCGACCTCGGCCGCCGCGCGGCGCCAGGGCGTCGCTTCACAACCGAGCCGGAGGCCCGCACCTGCCTCCACCGCCGCCGGCCGCGCCCGGCTCTCAACGGCCGTCCCTATCTGGCCGCATACTCGAGAAACCACTGCGCCTGGCGAAATTGCCCCACAGTTTGCATCTATTACGCTACCGGGCCCACTTGCCGACTGGCACCGCTATAAAAATGCGCCAGCCTCGCCGCGGTTCGGCGCCGGCGGCGGCACCGCCTGCAGCCCGCGCCGGGAATGCCGCGGCGCGCGTCAATTACGCCCGGCAGGCCGTGCCCGGGCGCAGGACGCCGGCATGCGAGGCGGAGCGAGCGCCCCAGGAGAGGCCGGCGGCGGCCAGCTCCGCAGAAGACAGCGCTGCTGTCGGCGCCGCCCGGCCCGGGCCGGCGCCGTTCTCCAGCCGACAGCGGACTCGCCAACACGTCCCGGCAGCCCCGCGCCACGGGCTGTCAACAGCGACCGCGCCCACCGGTAAAAACTAGCCGCCGCCGTGTCAGGGGCGGCAGACCAGGCCACCAGCTCGGAGGTCGGCGCAGGCTTCCCCTTACCCCGCCCCGCCAATGGCCCACATCCTAACAGGCGCGCCCGTCGCAAGCAGTGGGGGAGACGCGGACGTGGCTGAAACGCCCCATCCTGGAACGGCGAGCAGCCACGACCGACACGCTTGGGAGCGAAGCTGCACCGCATGAGGCGTGCTTGGAATCAAGCCCCTGGAAAATGGGGCGGTCTCCCGTCTCGGAACTGAGCATCAGATACCGCGCCATCAGAACAGACCAGGTCAGGCGGACAGCGCAGCGGTGTCCGCTGATAACCTCCGCGCAGCAGAGCAGAGCAGCAACGCCGACGACAGAGCGTGATGACCAGCAAAGAATCGTTCCTTACATACAACCGTACTTTCTTCTCTCCGCCACAATGTTGACAACATGCGAATCCACATTGTCAGAAACGTCGAGCTCTGACTTCAGTCGCATGGAGAGATCGCCACTGACAACGGCACGCCTCCTTTGCCGTGCAAAAGACGCATCACCCGGCTTCTGTGGCCAACGCGGCCGGCCCACAGGCTGGTCACGTGCAGGACAGCGCGAACGGTGCCAGAGCCTGTCCGTTGACCCCATAGCCCTGCGGTCAACCGTGACAGTGCGGTTGACCCCAGGGCTAAGCAGCCCTCTTGGCTCCGCCCAAAACTGGTTACCTCCTTTGCATCATTTATGCCTTCTGTCTAAGACATCAATCTTCCACATGTTGAGGAGGAAGGAGGCCATACTGCGACCATATTTGATGTGAGCCTTGCTCATGCATAGCATTATTTTGGTTGGTCCAAAGGCAGCAACTCTGTTAAGGAGCACTGCATGTCGTCTTAAGCTGGGGGTCCATGCACATTTTTGGTTGTTTCTGTCTAGCCAAGGTTCATAATAGCAATGTTAACTTTTCATGAAGAGGGAGGTGGTCATTTAGGGTTGCCACTGAGTCCAAACCATGGAAAAAGTAGGATCATTGCTGTCTTGGGGGAACACAAAACTGCTGGACACCATTGCCTCCTCCCACCCACCTCCCCCCCCCCCACCCCCCAATTTTCAGACTTATGCTTTAAAGCTTTATGTTCTTACCATGGTGCACAAGATGGCAAACAGATCATGCCCTGAGGCTGAAATGTGTTACAATGTGTGCTACAGTGCTTTAACAGTTTAAGTTTGTTGGCTGCATTGCAATGCAAGCTTAAGCACTGTTTTCTGGGTTTATCTCATGTTATCTGGTTAATTTTAAATCTGGGTTGCCAAAACCGAGACAATCAACAGAAACACCACATGATGCAGCAATCCTATGGCCATTAAAAATGCATCATTATGACTTTATTACAATATCCCAAAATAATGGTCTTCAAGTATTTTCAATAACTTGAAAATACTTAAATGTCATATTGAGCCACCAACAGTACAGCACTTATCCCTTAAGTTGCACATCAACCATTTATATCACAAAATTCTACACTGTGGTTTTGCTTCTAGTTCTGCATTTATATATTCATAAACCATAATATCCTGTATGGGTGAAATATGTGGATGATGACTAGCATGCATGTACTTAACAAATGAATATAGAAAGCAATCCTGTAGAACTCAAGGAATAATTCTCAAACATTCCTGTTAAACTATTTCATTTTCACTCTTAGGAGGAAACATTTTTGGTTCCAAAGAATTTTTTGTTTTTGTTCTATGCAATATGACAAGAACACTGGTCAACTACACACTAGAATACAGAAATACTGCTGTCAACATTTGTAAAATTATTTTTTGATGCATAGTGGATCAATGCAAATAATGCCTTACCAATAATTCACCATATGGTCAATAACTAAAACTATACTTAATACAAGCACAGGGTATAAATTGTCACAGATAATTTTATCCATAGTAAACAAATGAGCATGCAACTGTACATTTTATGTAATAACTGAAGGATCAAAATCAGCTGAGAACATATCAATTCATGTGTTATTCATTTGCCTGTTAATACATGGTATCTTACAAAAAACAATTAAGAGGAATACAAAATTGGTTTGTAGGTGCATGATTCCCCTTTGGTTATGCTGCACAAAAGGCACAAATATATATACATCCCACACACAAAGCAGCCTGATTATTGAAACAAACATACTGCATAATTATCAGAAGATACTAATACAAATAATTATCTAGAATGACCACATAATAAAATCTTAAGAGTTGCATTTGGCCATTTCAAAAAGTCAGCATAACAATAATAATAATAAAGAAGGAAACCAGGAAATTTCTGATAACTATGCTGTCAAAATAGTAACTAAGAATGTAATAGGTCCATTAACAGACACAAGGGCTACACATTTCTAGCATAACACACAAATGATGACATAGTGCCATTCAGGCTTTACAAGGCATTAAGCTGCTAATGCTATACAGTGACACCTGACTCACACACCAGCAAGGACATGTAGAAAAAAGAATCAGCACTTGTACTTCTGGTCACCCAGACAACCAGCTTAACCACCATTCTACCAGCACCTTTAAATGATGACAACTCAGCATGCTAAATACACCAGCATTCCATCAAGATGTTTCTTACCTTTCCATGCTGTGCTCCATGTGATGTTCTTCTAAGATACCTGTCTTAAAAAATGGTTCATAGTAGGGCATACAAAAAGGATAATGATGACATAAACATAAAGGACACTTGCAAGGGATCACAGAAAATGACTTTGTGAAGCTGGATATTCAGGAATGGTCAGAAAGGATATAATAGCTAGCAGTTATGACCCCAATGCTGGCAGTATCTCACTCTAACCCATCTGCAAAGATGACATCACATTTTACGGCATGCATTTGAAAAAAGCATGTGGTGTCAGACTAAAGTTACTCAACCCTTTTGAATTGTAAGAACTCCATACATTTACAGATGTGCTATAATTTCAAGAACTGTGCTTATTTTACAGCAACTTTCAGCTATTTTCACAAGCTTGCATATTTGTTATACAGCATTAAGATGATGTTTCAGCAGTGCATGAGGATGACATGTCACCTGGTGGATGTGGTACAGATCAGCAGAGATGGATGGATATGTACCCAGGTAGGTACATATCTCCTTATGTGGGTTGATAAGTTTCAGGGACAGAGCCGTGGACAGGACTCCAGTGATCGAACAATTGGTACAAAAAGCCCACGGGACCAGACGGAAACGTTGAAGTAGGTACAAGGAAAAGTTAAGTTTATGTTCGCGGGACAGCCATCCAAAAACGGATTGGACAGCTGTGAACCCAACAGCAGCTAAGTAACATAGGCCTGTATCAGACTTTCCACTTTCTTGCCACCGGAACAAGCTGGCTGCACAGCAAACACCAGCAAACGCGGCACCGTGCCCCCAGCAGGGACAGGACGGATTTTTATGATTGAGTACCCTGGGCACGCTCCAGCAAACGGTTTGGTTGCATATGCTGGAAAGCCGCCTGTGAGTTACGTCAAGTCTTCTTCTTGGACGGGCTTGTGTAGATATGAAAATGAGCAATGACGTCATCAATTCCGATATCGCACACCATACTGTCCACACATTTGTAGAAATCGCGCCACTGTGTGTCTCATTTGCGGCAGGATAGACCTTGCCAATGCCAAAGTATCAAGGACTAAATCTTGTGAGATATAATTTGCTGTTGTTCATATATCTAGAAACATTTTCCATATTTTTCGCGGCTGCATATTGCATCACTGCAGACTTTCTTTAACTGTGGCATTAAAAAGTGCAAACTGACAATTTCTTTCATTTTAGTATAGCATGTTTTGGTATAGAAAGAAAAGGTTACAAATATTTCATTGATTACGTATCTTTAAAAGGCAGTCGAGCTTTTCTCACTATCTGTTGAACAAATTGATATTTTAGGGGAGCTTGCGAACAAAATACTTATCGTCCGAAAAACTCATTGCTTTTCCAAAAGTGATGTTATTCCACCGAGTGGGAAACGCGTCTGCTGCGCTAGTATTGTATTTTCGGAAATTTTGTGTTTCCATGATTTTGCGGTTGTATTCTCTGGAATGCCTGGGAAAATTGGATAGTTGGGAACGATAAGAGACCAAGGGGAGTGAGGTAAGCTCTATGCGAATACTATAGACGTATATTGCACGTCCACTTGTTAGTGCATATGCTATTGCGCTACCGAAACCTGCACTGAGTTGTCTTAAGTTCGTGAACCCATACATCTACCCATGCAACATTTTTTTGCAGACATTTTAGACGTATGGACATTGGTGCTATTCTGGGTTCAAACAGCTGATATAGTAACATGCATGTTTTGACATAAGCAGCATTAAACATTGTGCTTGCTGCCCAGATTGAAAAAATACACTACGGCGTGAAGAACATGCCTATTACTGCAGCAACATGAAGGCAATAAATTCAGTGCATATTCACCATGAATACATGAACCCACAGTTTGGAGTGCTGTCACAACCAAATTCAGAGCTTAGACTGCTGATGTCTCTATTAACTGTAATAGCACATACTTTTCAGCAAACACACTCCGAAAATTTTTGTTTTCTGCAAGCTAATTTTCAAAATCCAGCACAACCTGGTCTGGCCTGAGATAGGCACTTGCTAACATGATGTTTAGCTCATCAATGTCCTGCTGGTATCCTCTGCAATGGATGAATTTCTTGGCAGACTTGCCCTCAACCTTTGTGCAACTCGTAAGTGGATTTGCCGTAATAATGGCTTTGTTCTGTTCATTAAAATTGGGTGTTCTGTGATCATTTCTTAAGGTCATGGTTATCATACATGGGATGTCACAAGTTTTAAGCATTTATCAGGATATGATGCATGTCAATATAGTAAGAGGCCACCAGATCAGGCTGTGCCAACATCCTATGGCTAATTTTGATGCTTTCCTTCATGCTTAGTTTCCATGTGCAGAAAGCTTTTTGGTAAAGGTAGGGCTTTTATATTTCTGAGCCATCACTCACATCCAGTGTGTTGCCTTCATTTCTGAGAGCTGCATGTGTTTAAGGCTTAGTGTTGGAAGATAGTCATTAACAGGAGTACATTCTCTTAACCAGAATTACAGATAGGGTTTCAGGATGATATTATGTTGTTAGCTGGAAAACCTGTAGCTTTCAAGGTTTTTTTAGTACTGGTAATCTGCCATCAGTGGCCTAGCAAGGGTCTTAGCACATTGCATGTATCTGTAACAGCAAACTGACATTGGGGATAACTGGAGTGGTAGGTATGACAATATAGTGAACAACAGTTGGACCTGTTGGAACCTCGGCCCATTGCTGTGACCTTAAAAGGAAGGCCAGCAGTATCAGTATTGTTCTCTATGGTCTTCTCTTTTATCAATATCTGCCCTTAATTTCCAGGCTAGAACTGAGCCGAAGAACTGATAAATTAATTGTCCTTATGTGGATGTAAAACTGATGCATGTTATAATGGTGCTCACTGATTCTATTCATATATAAAGAAATGGTAAACTTTACTTTTATGCATTTCTTCCCCACCACCATTGTCAACAAAATGACCTCTCACAAACCTGATCAATTTTAGAATCAATGGCCTTTAGAACCTCATCCAGTATCTAGGCTGGCAAAGGCAAGCACAGTTTGATGGGGAAGAGGATCAGTCATTTCACTGAAGCAGCTGTTAGGCTGGGGTGCTTACTTTTGTCTAAGTTGTAGAGTGCAAAGGCTTTCAAACTGTTAGTGAAAAATGTTTTTAATGTCTTTAATAATTGGGTGGGATGTTTGGTCTTCAGTAGAACTCACATGGTCTCTTTGCATGAACAATTGTTGCCATAGAACATTCAAATATGTTTCAATTTGAGCAGAGGCTAAAATTGGGATGAACATAAGGCTTATGAACAAGCTCAGATAGGATATACCTGCAGCTCTAAATAATTGCAGTAACTACCATTTTTCTTGGGTACAGTTAGGAGCACAAAATTGTTGTGTACCATTTAGCAGCAGGTGCCAGCTTTTGCAACACTTCTGATTTATTGAACCCTTAGTGCAGCAGATCAAGAGCATGCATGGCATCCATTGACCCACCTGTTTATGGTGTTTTTCATAATCATTCTCAGATCTTGGCAGGCAGAATACATGTGAATTTGACTTCAACTTTATGGTGTAAACAAGTGTACTTCATACCTGTTGTCATGTGGCCAATTTAATGTTGTCCAACCCTTAGTAACAACAGGGACACTTAAGTATGTTTGTCAGGGCCCAGAAATCATTATGTGTGGGCTTTTATTTGGTGTCAAGTGCAAGATGCATACAGCAAGATATATAGCCATGAAGAGCATGTGGTTCCAATGCAATGTGGCCAATATTCATCCATAATGGTATTTTTGAAATACTTTAATCACAGTGTTGATACACTTAGAATGAATTTTCTGATTTTGTTTGTTTGAAATGGATTGGCTTCATTATTTGCAGATGTTAGTCATAACATAGGCATTAAGCCTTGCTTTGTTTTTTTTTTGTATTTGCCTACCATCTGTGATTATGTGCCACAGATTGGCAATGATGCCTGGAGTGAACAGCCGTGATTTTCAGGCACACAGACACATAAGATATGCTGGTCTTTAGTGACAGGAAGGGTGATTCTGTAGGATTTTTGCTCTGAGAGCGATTTTGTGAGATGTATAATGTCCAAGTTTGAAGGTGCCTGCAGGCAGGATGTTTTGCCAGATATGGTATTCCTGCAATCTGATAATATGAGATGTTGCTACCACGACATAATTACACAGAAACATAAAGTTTTCTTATTTCGAGAAAGGCTCGCTCCGTGACCGGAGGCTGGTCTCGGGTATCGGCTCCGCTGCGCGAGAGACCTGCGCAGTTTGACGCAGGGGAGGGCCGATAATGGTGTTTGCATAACTGTGAGTGGATGCGTGCGGTCGGTCACGAGCGCTCGAAGACAAACCATGGATCGGTAGCTCTCTGAGCATTTTATCGATTTGCCATATCTCAGCAGCCAGAGAAGACGAAGGTCTGAAACTGATTGCCCTTACCGTGTATGGGCTGTGCTCCAAATATTGTGATCTGGCAAATAATATGCGTGAATGTTGGTCACCATGCGCTGAACCATGCACCTGTGTTGCTATCATGTCCCATTATCCCCCGATGTAGGGCACACGTGTTGTATTGGAGGCCGGTTTTGGAAAGTGTCACATTACAGCTTCCCGGTCTCTTACTGGGGCGCCTGTGGTCCGGGTGGTATTGAGGTTACCCCGCGATTTGTGTACGGAACATTTGCTTGCGCCATGCAGTCGGCTTCGCGAGTTGGTCTGTTCTTCTTGCCGAGATCTGACACCTGTCCCTGAAAACGTCCAGCAGCGGGCTGAGTCGTGGACGTTGCTCGAGGGCGTGTGACAGGCTGCACAAACCGCCTCAATTTGCCACTGCCATCGCGTGGTCCCGGTTTACCCAAGATTATTGGTCTCATATCGTCGTGGAGTCAGTTTTAGCCAGTTTGCCAGGAGCCAGTTTGGAGAGGTTTTAGCTCGGTTGTGACATTTGTGGAACAGCTTTTTCACAATAAGCATACTTTACGTTTTCCATGTTGATTGCATGGAGCATGTTAAATGCGTTTTAGCCTGTAATGTCTCATGAATGTCACGCCCGGTCCAGCAGCTTGCATGCAGGCGTCTTTAAGGATGCACACCATAAGCTTTACAAAATCGTGCTTCTTTTCGCTGGGAGCTATGAAACTGCGATCAGTGCTTGTTAAGATATGAGCCTCCGAAATCGTGACGGCTGGGGCCGGTCTGGCACGTGCCGCTCAACTTGAGCACTGTATCGCCGTCCAAGCGAGCCTCGCTCGTCACGAGCACGCCCGCGGCCGTGCGCCCGTGTACGCTCGTGCCATTGGCCGGGGGTCCCACCGGCATTCGTGGAACACGTCGTGAAGCAGGTGACGTGATAACAAGACGGCACCACTTTGGCATTCCTGAAGGGGGGGGGGGGGGGGGCAGATTTCCTCGGCTGGTCGCAAAGCAGGTGCCTCCGGTAGTACATCCGGGGCTTAGGCAAACCAGGTGTTGGTGGTACGTGCTAGGGCGCTGAGCAGGTGGCGGCGGCGGACTCCGGGGCGGTGCTGCGTCACACCACTGTCCGTGGACCGCGGCTAAATCAACTAGCCCGAGGTGGCATCGTTGTGCGTCACCTGGCAACAGAAGTAGTTAAGCGGGCACTAACCCGCCGTGGCATGCGCTATACGAAATGGCGACTTGGTGGGCGGTGGAACCCGGCGCTCAGTCCACCGAACCACTGGAAACCTCTGGCTGGTCGGTGTGGTCGTATTCGTCGGACTCTCGCGAGCGTAACAGCGGCATCAAAACTAGCCCATCTCGGTGTTGACGCGGGGGTGTCTGCATTGTCGCGCAAGGTGTTGACAGATGGTGGCCCTGCCGCTAACCTGGCGTGTGTCGCAGCGGCGCGCTGTGTGACGTCACTGGTGCTGCCATGGCCGGCGGCATCCTGTCCTCCAGCATGGACGATCTGCTGCCGAGCTCGGTGGACGAGCTGTGCCGTAACCCGCTGCTCTGCCCGCTGTGTAACCAGGTGAGAGGCGACGGCGATCCGCCACGCCGTCCGTGCCGGTGCCAGTGCCGGTCGGCCGGCCCGACGCCGCCCACCCACGGCTGTGCTCTGATTGCGAGCATGGCTTGTGCAGCTGCCGTGGTCAGCAGCATTGCAGCCATGTGTGCCTGCTGTGTTATCGACGGTCGCAGTGTGCCATGCCGATTCTAACGAGGGAACTGGAAGGTGGTAGCAGTGGGTTATGTATGGGTCGCACCGCGAACATTTTCGTGGTGAGGTAGACATTTTGTGATGGAGGCACTGCGTCATGATCCGCGTTAAGGAGCGTAGAAGTCTTGAGCGGTCGCTGTGTGTGTGTCGCTGCGCAGCTGACTGCCCCGTCCGACACCATCGACAGGTGTACGACGAACCGTGCCTGCTGGTGTGTTTTCACTCGTTCTGCGCCAAGTGTTTGCGGGTGCGTGTGGTGGACGGACGGCTGAGCTGCACCATCTGCAGGTGAGTCCCGGCCCCGGCCCCGGCCCCGGCCCCGGCCCCGGCCCCGGCCCCGGCCCCGGCCCCGGCCCCGGCCCCGGCCCCGGCCCCGGCCCCGGCCCCGGCCCCGGCCCCGGCCCCGGCCCCGGCCCCGGCCCCGGCCCCGGCCCGGCCCCGGCCCCGGCCCCGGCCCTGGCCCCGGCCCCGGCCCCGGCCCCGCCCCGGCCAGCAGCCCTTATCCCGTCGTCGGCAGCCGAACCGCACGGCGTCGACCGCCTGCTGGGTGAATCACCGCCCGCAGTCCCTTTGTCCTCACCTGAGTCAACACTCAACCCTGCGGCCGGCACCACCTGTGCTCAGTCGAATACGACGAACGACGGAAGTGACCAGCCGTGCCAGGACCCGCTGCCCGGGGCGTGGCCCGCTGCCCGGGGTATTACCCGCTGCCTGGGGTATGACCCGCTGCCTGGGGCATGACCCGCTGCCCGGGGCGTGACCCGGTGCCTAGGGTATGACCCGCTGCCTGGGATGTGACCCGCTGCCCGGGACGTGACCCGCTGCCCGGGACGTGACCCGCTGCCCGGGGCGTGACCCGCTGCCTGTGGTGCGGCGTCTGGCCTGGTCTGACCCGCACGGGCTGGCTGCGGCTGTCGATCGGCGCCCCGGCCGCCTGGTCAGCCAGTCCGCCGGTCCGAGCGCGGCCGGGCCCCGCGCGGCCGCCTGGTCAGCCAGCCCGCCGGTCCGAGCGCGGCCGGGCCCCGCGCGGCCGCCTGGTCAGCCAGCCCGCCGGTCCGAGCGCGGCCGGGCCCCGCGCGGCCGCCTGGTCAGCCAGCCCGCCGGTCCGAGCGCGGCCGGGCCCCGCGCGGCCGCCTGGTCAGCCAGCCCGCCGGCCCGAGCGCGGCCGGGCCTCGCGCGGCCGCCTTTGACGCCGCGCTGCCGGCCCGACCTGCCGCAGTAAGACGACGGTGCTGAAGGACGGCAACAGCTTGCCGCCGGCTGACGTGCTGCTCCGCTTCCTGGTCGAGTTCTCCACCGAGGCGCGCACGCCCTGCGCCAACTGCGAGACCACCGAGAATATCAGCATGTTCTTCTGCAACACCTGCGGTACGGCATCGCCACTCTTGTAATGCCAAGCTTGCTTTCGGCTTCGTCGCTGATGAGATCAAAACCGGTTTCAGCACGAACGAAAACGATTGCAGGGGCTGTGCAATAGAGCGATCATGGCACGTTCGTTGACAAACAGGATGGGTGAATTACTTTGGACGAGTATTGGGCCCGTTGGGCTAAGGCCCAAGTGATGTCGTTGAGTCCTTTTGAACTTTTTTGCATTTTTGGTTTGCGAGACAAGTTAGCGGAAATAATGTGGGCGAGACTCGCCTCAGATAGATGATAAACAGAAGATGGGGGCTGGTTACACCTGTCTTGTATCCATATGGAAGTGGCGGTCCCCAGCTGGCCCGGTGGTCATCGTGTACCGCCCAGTGGCGCGAGGAGGTGCCGAGCTGCTGCCGCCCTCCGCCGTGGCCGCCTCGCGCAGTCCACCCCGGCATGGCCGGCGGCCGGTGTGCCAGCCACGCCCGGGTACTGGTGGCGCGCGGCGCGCGGTCAGCGCACTCGTGGCCCGTGGTGGGGGCCAGCTGCGGCCGCTGCTGCAGCCACCGCTGAATGGCCGGGTGGAGCGGACCGATCTGTCGGTGATTGGTGCCGCTTATGGCGCCCCCCACCCAGACACACGCTATAGCCGGCGTCAATAGGCCGTGGCGAAGTAATTTCCCGAATGTGCAAAAAAAAGTGCCGTTGCTGAATATGTCCAACAGTGCGCAGCTTCCTACCGACTTTCTCCAGCCCTGCTCCCTCACTACCGTGCCTAGTTATTCGGCTATATATATATATATATATATATATATATATATATATATATATATATATATATATATATATATGCCCGGGTAGCGGGCGGTGCCGTGCTCGGCTGACTGTCTCTGCCGCCCACCGCTCCAGGCCAGGCGCTGTGTGAGCGCTGCAAGAACGAGACGCACCGCGCCAAGATGTTCTCCATGCACGAGGTTATGACGCTGTCGGAGCGACTGCGCAAGGCCTGCAAGCAGGTGAGCGGCCGCACCCGGCTCCGAGGCTCGGCCCCGTCGCCAGCGACGCCGCCGTCGCCCGCCAGAGAGCGCTGCCGTCCGGCACCGTAGCGCCCACGCGAATCTGTGCATGTGCAGTGGCGTTTGGACCCAGTGGTCTCGTCGTCCGGTATGCCTCTGTGAATGCATAGTGACTGGTGCTATCGGGGCCGTCTGAACGCTACAAAGGCCGTCGTGCACCTGTTCCCCTCGTGCCGAGGCTGCGGCATGATTCACGGCCACACGGCCCTGTCCGCTGATCTCAAGGTCGCAACGGTGTACCGCTGCAGCAGCTGAGGCGTGCCGGTGTCTTGTATGTCGGCCGGTCGTTGACGTCCGCGATGGTGGCGCCGTTGGCCGCAGTGTGCGGTGCACAACGAGCCCCACATCATGTTCAGCACGGACAAGAAGGAGCTGCTCTGCATCAACTGCTTCCGCGAGTACAGCGCCGAGTCCAAGCTGCACTGCGTCGACCTGGACACGGCCTACTCGGACAGCGTGCGCCGTCTGGAGCGGACCGTGGTGGTGGGTAGAGCGCGCCGCCCGGACCCGGGGACTGGGCCTGAGCCGGGGCCACCCTGTCCCCTGAGCTGAACTGCGCGCTGCGGACCGAGGTCCGGGTGAGCTGATTGCAGACAAAGTCGCAAATGGGCATAGGTCGTTTGTAGCATGAATGAGTACGTATGTTAACAAGTTGCTGTGCAGATGATGGATGGTGTCAACTCGGCTCTGCTGATCGGCTCAGCTCGCATTGATGTACCGCTCATGTTCCGTGGCCTCCCAGCTGACGTTTCAACGGCATTGATGAGCAGCGCCTTGAATAATGCTAACAAGCTGTCCGTGTCTGAAGGACGTAATCAATATTGTGGGGTGTACGGGGACAAAGTGTCAGCGAGTTGTGTCTGTCAAGAGGGCACACGTGGGCTGCAGAACGCGATGAGGTACAGCGCCATCCTGGGCCAGCCCGTGTGTTCGTGGCCTGAGTACCTGCGAGCTGCAGAACTCGGTACACGGTCCGACATCACCCGGTACGGGCGCGTGTGTGTCCGTGCCCAGAGTATCTGCAAGCTGCAGAACTCTGTATTGGGTCCGACACCACCTGCTGTGGGCGGGTGTGTGTTCGTGCCCAGAGTATCCGCGAGCTGCAGAACTTGTACAAGGTCCGAACACGGTCCGACAGCACCGGGTATGGGCGTGTGTGTGTCCGTACCCAGAGTATTCCCGAATTGTAGAACTCGGTGCGCGGGCCAACATCACCTGCTGTGGGCGGGTGTGCGTCCGTGCCCAGGGTATCCCCAAGCTACAGAGCTCGGTACACAGTCCGAACACGTTCCGGCATCACCCGGCATGGGCGCGTGTGTGTCCGTACCCAGAGTATCCGCGAGCTGCAGAACTCGGTGCGGGACGGCATCATCTTGTACCGGGCGCTGCTGGACGAGGTGCGCCACAACATGGAGGCCGAGAAGACGGCCGTCGCCACGTTCTGCCGCCAGCTGCACGAGACCGTCAGCCAGCTGCAGGAGCGGCTGCTGGCCGATGTCGAGGGGTACGCGGCGGCCGGCGCGCCGCCCTCCGCCGCCGTCTCCTCAGCATGCCCCGCCGTGCGCCGGTGGCGAGCCAGACGAATGTGCCGGCGCCGTGCTGCTCTCGTGTTAGGCCTGTGTTGGAGCTTCGTGCGTGGCGCGGTGGAACGGCACCCAGGCTCTGGCCTCCCGTTGTTACGTTTGTCTTTGGAATCTTAGCTTGGTTCGCTTTCATGTGCTAACATGTTATCTTTGGCGCGGTTCAGTGTGTTCCCGCGATTGACTGGTCTTTTGTCTGATGCCAACAGCGACCTGCATGAAGATGCCTGTGCACTGTGTAGTTGGCGTTTAGTAGGCCGAGTTAAGTGGAACGCCTGCTTTGTTTTCTTTCCGTGTTGGTCCATGCTGCCATGATCTTGTTTTCGTTTACCTGGCCAGCTTTCATCAGCATCTGAGTTATGTTCCCTGACTGAAGCACTTCAGTTGTTTTTGCGTTCATCTTGTGAGCATGTCCTCCACACTGCATTGTGACTTTTGCGCAACTGGACTTGTTGACGTGAAGTTTTTACAAACCGTTTATTTTGTTAGGCAGGTTTTGTGGAGCTCTTTGATGTTGCTCTTTGCTCTTTGAAGAGCTTCCATTTCCTTCTTTTTTGCGCTGTTACATCGTCGGCTTGTAAAACCCGGATAAAGTGAGCTTTCATTGAGATCGTGTTTAAATGCATTACCAACGCTGCTCGGATGGCCTGGCTTGTGCCGGTGGATGCGCCGCGTTGTTTGAACGCATTTGCTTCACTTCTGGCTCTACCTGCCGTGTTTTTCGTACCCAGTTGCTGTTTGTCGCCTGATTCCTTTGGCTGCTGTGTAAGCATAGACTGCGGTCAGAGAATAAGCTTCCGTCATACTGTGCATGTGTTTCATGCATTCTGCGCGGCATTGTTGTGTTATTTTCCGGGCTTTTTGCCATCGTGTTGTGATGCCTGGCTGCGACCCGCTACTCCCGAATACATCGCACCAGCGCTGCTGCGGCAACTGTAGGAGAGCTCCACATCGTCTGTCCGCCGCTTCTGCTGATCTGTTCGTCCGCTGGCTGTCGTTTGTATCATGGTTAGCCAGGGTCTGTGATAGATTTGCCGTTGCTGCCATTTGGAACGCTTTTGCGTGCGCTGACGCTCGATGGCAGTGAGGCGCGTATGGTCCGACCGAGCCCCGTTCTCCCGCGTGGGATTGCGGCGCTCTGGTGCGACGCCACCGCTGCCGCGCCGTCGGCCGGCGCCGGGCTGGTGTGCTGCCGCGGACCGGCGGCCGGCGCCGACTCCCCGTGTCCCCGGGCTGGCCGGCGCTGACCCGGCGCCGCCGTCGCCGCAGGCAGTACACGCAGAAGACGTCCACCTTCCAGCAGCAGCTGTGTGACCTGTGCGCCCTGCTGCCCGTGCTGCACGTGCACCTCAGCATGTGCACCACCTTCACGCACTCGGCGAACAAGACCGAGTTCCTGGACCTCAGCTACTCGCTGATGGCCCGGCTCTCGGACATCGCTCACATCGGCGTGCCGCTCAGGTCAGTATGCCCAGCTGAGAGCTCGGGTCACATGGATTGCCTGACAGCTTGGGTCAGATGGGTCAGCTGACAACTCGGATCAGGTGATCAGCTGACAGCTCGGATCAGGTAGTCAGCTGGCAGCTCGGGTCAGATGTTCAGCTGACGGCTCGGCTCAGGTGGTCAGGTGGTCAGCTGATAGCTGGGGTCTGGTGATAGCTTGGGTCAGCCAATGGCTCGTGGCAGCAGCAGCAGCTGAGATCTACTGGGTCTGCTGCGCCCAGCCAGCGAGGTCAGGGTGGATCTGTTTTCGAAATGAACCGGGCATAATTCGCTCTCGTCCTCAAATCAGCGGCTGTTTATTTACGTGCGCGACCAGGACATTACAAGCTGAATGCATTTGCAAGTTGAGGAAGCTCGGTGCAAATAAGACTGCATGGATGACGTCACGCTATCTGGTCGCTGGATGCTGTGAGACTGACATGGTGATCCGCCCGCCGTTGCCAACGTCCCCCTGTGGCCGCGCCGCCGGGCAGGCCGAGCCAGACGAGCCAGGTGAAGACCAACTACCGGCGCGAGGTGTACCAGGCGCTGGACCCGCTGCTGTGCCCGGCGGCGGCCGCCACGCCCGAGCCGGGCGGTCGGCTGCTGCCGGTGGCGCCGCGGCGCGCGCACACCGCCAACCGGCTGCGCCTGCTCGAGTCGAGCGGCCCGTTCGCCGACCACTGCCGCGCCATCGAGACGCGCCTCCAGGAGATCACGGCCCGCTACCGGCAGCTGCGCGAGATGTCGCCCGACCGCGCTGAGGTCGCGTGCCAGGTGAGGCGGCCGTGCCGCCGCTGCCGCCGCCGCCGGCATCAGCAGCCGGCGGGAGTGCGTTGTTCCCGCCACCTCCCCGGAGGAGAAATCCAACGACGACCGCTGCGGCTGGGCCCGCTGGAGTGGGTCGAATGATTTGCTAGAAATGTTAATGGTAAGGTGAACTTAGGCGGATCAGGATGGGGTAGAGAGGTTACTTGATGAAGTAGCACCATTGAATATTGCTTTCCAGTCTAGTGGCGAACGAAAAGAGCAAAACTGTCCCATGTCATCGCTGCAGTGATGTCATGGAGACCATGCAGACCATGTCATGCAGGCCCGTCACAAAGATTTGAATGATCCCCACTCGCATGATAAGACTCAAATGCGTAACAAATGAGGTGACAAAACCAATTTCCCGTTTTGTGCGGTAGCATCCGAACGGTGACGGTACCCCGGAAAAGTCCGGCCGTAAGCTGGCACCGATCATCGCCATGTTGGTGAACTGACAGGCGGCAAACGCTGCCACTGTCGCGGTGGCGTCCCCTGTCCGCTGGCCCCCCGCCGGCGGCTCTGGTCGCGCGCCGGCCGGGTGCGCTGTGCGGCCCGGGTCCGTGACCATGTCCGTGACCACGTCGGCGCGCCAGGTGGTGGACGGCGACATCGTGTCGCTGGCCTGCGAGGTGGAGGAGGCGCGCCTCCGGCTGCAGCACCGCTGGGACGAGGTCAACACGCGCCTGCAGATGGAGCGCGACGTGTTCTCGGCCCAGGTAAAGGCCTGACGCCGCCTGCGCCGCGGCTCCGGCTCCGGTCCCGGCCCCGGCCCCGGCCCCGGCCCCGGTCCCGGTCCCGGTCCCGGTCCCGGTCCCGGTCCCGGCCTCGACCCCGGTCCCGGCCCCGGCCTCGGCCCCGGTCCCGGTCCCGGTCCCGGTCCCGGTCCCGGTCCCGGTCCCGGCGCAGACAAGTCGAGGGCGGACAAACCACGCTCCAGCGACATGTGGCCTGCCGTGCGCGTGCCCGGGATTGGTTTCGTCCCGGTTTCAGCCACGTGTGACTGCGTCGAATCGTTTGGTTCCTTGCACAGCTGTCACTGAAAGTCAGCAGACCATGGTTATTTGTATGTGCGTGTGTGTGGTTGTGTGTGTGCGTGCGCGCATGCGCGTGCGTGATGAACGTCGTGTTATGTTGTATGTTACCCGGTCGGTGGTCGGCTGTCTGAGGGTACGCCGCTGACCGGGTGTGGCGCTCGCTCCGGCCAGGTGTGTGACCTGCAGCAGCTGCGCGCCGACCTGAACCGCTTCACAATCGCCATCAAGCAGCAGACGTGCGAGCGGCCCTCCTCCTGCGACCCGCTCACCAACTCGCACTCCAGCGGCGCCGGCAAGAAGCAGAGGTGGGGCCCGGCTCGTCGCCTGATCCGGGGTAACGGGGGGGGGGGGACCGAATAATGCAGGGGAGCAGAGGATGGCTGGGGGGGGGGGGGGGGGGGGGAGCGAGGCCCGTCTGGTAGCTGGCCAGGGACGCTCTCTTCCTGGATTGTTACGGCTTGCCATTCTGTCGTGAACTGTCAGTATGACTCATATTATAGGACTGGAATTTCATGGGTCGTGAAGCGAAGCTGTGGTAAGGGGATGACGCCGGTCGCTGACCTGTGGGTTACACATGGCGTGCCGGTGACGTGTGGAAGGCGTGTGATGATAAAGCTTTGAGCTGTCAATACCCGGCCAGTTTTGGGGATACCTGGCCGGTTTTTACCTGGTGTTCTTGTGTGAGGGCATATCCGTAAGGCGTTTCACAGTTTGATTGGGAAAATGGAAACGCAGCGGCGTAATTGTTTCCGCGTCGTAAGCGTTGAATCACAGACACTGCTGTGGAAAGGGTCGGCGGTGTCGCCAATGTCCGTCTCCAGTCAAAGTCTCGCCCGCACACGACACCCATGCTTAAGCCCGGTGCTGTGCGGCTCCGGGCGTCTCGCGCAGTGGCGTGCGGCCCCGCGCGCGCCCGCCTGTCCAGCACAGTCGCCGGCGTGACCGGGGCGCCGCGCCGGCAGGCCGGAGGTTGCCGCCGCGGGTCGACTCGCTGCCCGGCCAGCCGCCGCCGGGGCTGCGGCCGGACGAGCCGCCGCCGGCCAAGCCGGGCGCCGAGCCGCTCTGGCACATGCAAGGTGGGCGCGGCGGGTCGGCCGGCGCCGGCCGGCCGCCGGACGCGTGACCGGGCGCCGCGGCCGCCGAGCCCGGCCGGCCCGCGGCCCGGCCGATCGCCCGGCCGCGCCTCGGTAGACTCGGCGGCATGCTCGGCACGCGCCGGTAGTGGCGCCCGGCCCGGCGCCGGGCGCGCGCCCCGCGCCGCCGCGCCGGGCCCGGCTACAAACTGGATGTCGCCGTGATGGGGCGTGCCTCGTTCGGTGTCCGTTGCTTGACAATAAAGTGTTGGCTTCTCGCGGTGGAATGTTTGTGTGGCATGGCCGGACCGCCGGCACTCGACGCAGCACGCCGGCGAGTGCTCAGCGAAGATCGCTCACCGACGTGAGCAAGCTGACCGTGTAATGCATCCAACTAACTAAGACATTGCGGCATCGAGTCAACGGTATGTTCTCACTGGTCCGGGCGCTATATGTCGCATAGTGCAGCTCCTTGGTCGTCCCGCCAACCCCTAGACGTTCAGTAGACATCGAGGGTGTCCCTAAAACTGTCGAACTGAAACGGCACGGGGACCGGTGCGTGTGGTGCGAGGCTGTTATGTCGTGTGTTGTGTGTCTGGCTCGGCATGTGTGGTGGACAAGTGTCCAGACCCAGAAGCTCAGACTCCAGTCCGGACTGACAGGCCTAACAGAGCGTGGCAACTTCGGATGTCGCCGCGCCGTGCCAGGTCGATCGAGCGGCCGCGTATGACCATGGCCGGCCGCTGTCTCCTTCCGCGGCTCGGCGCAGCTGTACCGCGCGCGTCGCCGCAGCGCCGCCGGAGCCGCCGCGTCCGTACACCGTGTGCCCTCTGTCGGCAGCCGCTGCAGACGGCGTCCGCGCGGCCGGCCGCGGGGCGGCGCCGCCGGCGGCCGCGCGCCGCGAGCCGGCCGGCGGCGAGGCGCAGCGCGGCGTGATGACCCAGCTGCGCGAGGCGGTGCGCCGCGGCCGCGAGCGCAGCGAGGAGCGCTGGCGCGAGCTCTCGCCGCGCCGCCAGTGGCGCGACCGCTCCGAGGAACGCTGGCGCAGTGACGACGAAGGCCTGATGGAGCGCGAGCGACGCATGGTGCCCAAGCTGACGTGGTCGAGCCGCGGCGACGGCCCGCCGATGGCCGCCAGCACGCACGAGCAGAGCGACTGGCGGGCCAGCGCCAGCTGGCCGCGCCGCAAGGCGCCCGTGCTGACGCCCATCTCGCCGCGCGAGGTCAACACCGACTACAGCGCCGGCTCCATCACCAGCATCGACTCGCACCCGTCCGAGGGCGCGTCCCACCCGTCCGGTTTCACCAGCATCGACTCCGCCCTGGACCGCACCGTCGAGCAGGTCATCACCGGCATCGAGAAGTCGGCGCAGCGCGCGCGCGGCCGCGAGCGCGCGCCGCGCCGCGTCACCGGCGAGCAGGTCTGCAAGTTTGGCCGCTTCACGGTGGCCAAGGTGTCGCGCGACTCGAGCGGCCAGGACAAGGCGATCAAGATCTCGGGCCGCGTGAGCGAGGTGCGCGGTGGCGCGCTGTCGACCGAGCGCCGACTCTTCCGGCGCTCGCGGCCCAAGCCGCGCTCGCGCGACGACGCCTGCGACAACAGCTCGCCGACCGACGACGAGCGCCGACACGCCTACTCCGACTCCGAGTCCAAGGCGTCGCGGCGCGCGCGGCGCGGGCCGGTCATGCGCCGCCAGAAGTCGGCCGACGAGTGCGACGGCGCGGCGGCCGGCCGGGGCCGCGGCCGCGCGCTGCTGGCCGCCGACGGCGCCGTCCACCGCGCCGACAGCTTTGAGGGCCACGAGGAGACGGTCAAGACGATCGTGGCGGCCGTGCAGGAGTCGCGCACCTCGCGGCGGCGCAAGAAGTGATGGTTCTGCGCCGAGTTCGTCCTCTCCAGCCCGCGCGCGGCGCGGCGGCCCGGCCGGCGGCCGGCCTCCGTGCCGCGCGCTGAGGCGGGCGACGGCGAATCTCGGCGGCCAGAGCCCCACTGAGGCGGCCGGGCCGGCGCCTGGCCGCGGCTGTCCCGCCGCCGCCGGCCGGCACGACTCGGCGCTCCCAGTACCCTCCACTGAGGCCCGGCGGCGACGGCCAGTCGCCGCTGCGGCACCCCTGACCACGCCAGGGCGACACTAGGCGGCCAGCCTTCCGGGCGGCCGGACAGTTTCAGCATTTATCTGCCAAGTTCTCTCCAAGACCCGATGGTGGGCCGCACTGAGGCCGAGCGTGGAGCGCGCTGGTCTGCCGCTACGCCCCGCCCAGGCGGGGTCACCACCGGCCCAGGAGGACCGGCGGAAGCTTACGTGGGTCCCCGCGCCATCCTGCTCACCTACTTGTAGTGACTTCTAGTACAATGTGGCGCGCCAGCTCGGTCGCGCGGAGCCCACCGACCAGCCTGAGGGCGACCCCCACCGGAGGGCCGTCCTCTCGCGCCGATGTCTTCACAGGGTATTTCTGATCGTTGCTCTTCTGCCCCTGTTGCTGTCTTTGTGAGTGGCGGCCGGGCCGGTGCGTGGCGCCGCCAGTTTTCTCTCACGTTCTCGTTGTAGTGGAGTACCTGCATGGACGCGTGACCGGACTGCGTGCTGGAGCGGCTTCTGTGGACGCTCTGAGCCGTGTTGTGCTGCGGTGCGACTACGCGTAAGTTGGGAGCGTGTCCGAGCCCAGGTGATGTACCGACCCTACTGGCCAGGAAGGAGTTGCCTCTTGTGGCCAGACCTGGGCTGGCTAGCTGCTGGGGGGAGTTATCGCTAGGAGCCACCTCTGGTCCGTGCGCCTGCAGCTAGAGCGGGGACTGGTGTTGACCGTGACCACATCGAGGAGCGAGCGGCGCGCGTGACCATGAGGCGTCGGAGCCGCTCGCTGGTCCAGCTCGGCTCCAGTGAGTTGCGCTGGCTGGCCGTGCTCGGGCCGGGCGTGGGCCGCCGTCGCGACTCATTTTCGCCGATGCAGCGGCTACCGCGCCGCGGGCCCGGCTGCCAGCCAGCGCTGCCTCGCGGAGCGGCGCTGGTCTGCCAGATCGAGCCCGTACACTGCAGCGTACCCGCCGCGCTCGTCCCTCAGATCGCCGACGACAATCAGGCCAGTCCGTTTGGAACTCCCCTCCGTGCTGTGACCCGGCCCGGGGCGGGCTGGGCAGATGTGCGTCACCATCCGCCGCCACCGACGGCGCGGGGCCGGGAACCGCGGCTGTGGCCCGCCGTCGGCCTTGCGCCCGCTGGTCAAGTCCGCTCCGCTTCGGCGTCCAGGCGGCGCTGAGGCCGGCTCGGCCCGTCGTCAGCTCCAGCGGGGCCGTCAGCTCCAGCGCCGCCGCTCGGTCCGCGCCGTCGTGTCTGTATGATCGGTGCCAGGTTGAGGGAGGGGCGGGCGCCGGCAGGTCACGGTCCAGCTGCCCATTGTGTGCAAATGACCCCGGGCAAGGCCGCCGCGGGAGGGCGTGGGGTAGGGGGAGGGGGTAGACGCTTCAGCGACCAAACTAGCCGTGCGCCGAGGCTAGACGAACGAATCCGGGTTTTGATCGAATCTGCGTTTGTTGTTAGTCGTTTGACTTGGCTTCCAGACAAATACAAAGCCGATACGAATGCGACTGTCTTGGCGCGACCCTGTGCTCCAGATTCCCGCTGTTCACGGACTTGTGACACTGAATGGATCTAGGGCGCGACAATCTGGCTGAAAAGGCGCATGCTCCGTGCCCGTATGCATGTCGACGACACACTCCGTGGACCTCGTGCAACACACGCGGCGTCAGTCTGCCGCACTGCGATATCGCGTGCGCCACAAAAGCAGAGCTGTCAGCAGTGTGTTCGGAACGTGTGCGCGCGCGTGTCACCAGATGACGGGCGTCACCCGAGATACCACGTGACCGGATGCGAACGGCCGGCGGCGCCAGAGATTTTGAGTTAGAGTTGTCAACTGCGACTGCATACCCATCGGGCTGTAACTGAAGTACGCTTCATTGCCGTGTCATTGGCCGATACAGAGGGCTCGGCTGCGCCACCTGGTCGAGACGGGCGTAACGGAGCTGGCTGGGGCCGCCCCACTCCAGCTGACTGTGAAGCGGGGCACGCGAGGCAGCCGGGCCCAGCGGCCCTGACCGTGCTCACGCCGACGGCACGGGCGGCCGCGCCCGCCGGAAACCGGGCCGCCGCGCTGGCGAGGGGGGCGGCGGCGGTGCGGCGAGCACCGCTCAGTGCGGTGTCAGGTGCCGAGCGGCGGGCGCGCCCCGGACGGCGCCAGCAGTAGCCGGGCTCGTGTCGACACGGACTCAGCGGCTCAGCGACGCCATCAACCCAGGTCCAGAGAACATCTCGCCTAGAATTCGTGCTGTTTGGGTCAGTGAACACCCAGTGTAGGCCAGTGAAGACCCAGTGTAGGCCAGTGAAGACCCAGTGTAGGCCAGTGAAGACCCAGTGTAGGCTAGTGAAGACCCGGTGCATGCCAGTGAAGACTCGATGGAGACCAGTGAACTGCTCAGCCGAGGTCAGTGAAGATCAGGCGTGGGCCACCGACGTCAGTCGGACGTCCGTGTGAACTGGGGGCAGTGTAACGGAAGTCACGCTTAGGCCGGGAAGGATAGAGAGAACTGTGTGGGACTAATAAGGACACGGCCAACTTACGCGATGTCTCACGCTAGGTCGGTGAGGAGTGAGCCTAGTCCAGCGACAATGGGTCCTGGCTCGGTGATGAATGGTCCCAGGACCGCGACGGACTGGTCTAGGTCAGGGTTGGCAAGCCCTAAGCCGGCCACGGCCAGTCCTAGGTCCGCGAAGCCCAACCCCAGGTCAGCGGCGACCGCTCCTGGGTCGATGACGTCTGTGCCTCGGCCGGCGACGACCGCCCCCGGGTCAGCGGCGACTGTTCCCCGGTCAGCGACCGCCGGACCTAAGTCGGCGAGACCCCTGCGGTTCGCCGCCGGCAGACGTTCGGCGCGGCGGAGCCCGGGAAGTCCGCACCAGCCGCCGGCGCCGCGCGCCGCCGCACAGGCCGGGTGAGTGCCCGGCCGGCCCAAGCCAGCCGTGGCGTGTGAATCGCGACGCTTTCTGGTCAGGCTTGGGAGCCGGCAAGTCCGCTAACAGCTGACTTCAGAGCTCAGCAAACGGTGTGGCGTGACTGTCACGGTTGACGCTGTGCTCTGGTCCATTGCAAACACTGAACACTCCCGGAATGCAACGCGCGTTTGCCATCGAGTGTTCGCACCCCATTGCCGCTTGCACCGCGTGCTGGTGCGCGTGCAGGGTTGCAGATAGCAGAAATGCAAACGGGACTGACCTAAATGTGAATGTGAAAGCGAGCCGCTCATTACAGCTCAATTCGTGCAACTGATCGGTACATTGTGGGTCACTGTTTGCAATGCATGGCAGGCGTCACTGACGCTTCAGTCACTGTCAATGTTGCTGCCGAATGATACCGAAGTAACGTGATGCTTTATGCGGGTACATGCAGCCGATAGATACGTATATTATACACATGCGTGCTGTGTTGTTACCAATATCAGTTTCTCGGCTTGAAGATGTGATGATCGGTAAGGGGATCTGCGTCAATGCGAGTTACGCCGCCAGCTGGGTGTCTTTTATATACCTTAACAACGTTTTCATATTATTATTGACAAACGCGAAATGTCTCTGGAGCTCTAAATATGAACTTGTTGGACACCACGTAATTACTTAAGCCGTGAACGGTATTCGAGAATGTACCTGCGACAACAAGACGCACTCCGCCCGTGCTGGCGACGGTGTCGCAGCTATGTTCTACTGGCAGTAACCATTATGCAAGCGCTGGCATGAAAATGCAATTTAAACTCTGCGTATTTTAGATTTCGCGCGATTTTTAGCCATCAGTTTAAGCGTCGGCAGCAACGAACAGGATTTGGTTAGCTTTGGGACGGTACCGACTTTTGTTCGTCGTCGCTTTGGGACGGTACCGACCTTTGTTCGTTGTCGCTTTGGGACTGTACCGACCTTTGTTCGTCGTCAAACTGGCTCTTTCTTGACCGTCATGTTAGCTCGATTTCATTCCCTGCTTTGTTCAGATGTATCGAAGCGTTGCGACGGTCAGCATCCCCCAAGCGTCGGCACCACAACGCGGCCGGGAAATCCAACCCGGCCGGCTCGGTGTCCCAGCCGGCGTCACATATGGGGCCATCACGGCCGACTTGGTCCGAACCAGACCGGGCCCCAGTCACACAGCTCTAACGTAGACACAGTCACGGCCAGCTTCACGGACCGGGCTATCATGGCCGACTCGGTCCGAGTCAGACCTGAGCCAGGTTTGACTCTTCAAAAACCTCTCACCTTTACGTTGCTGACAGTCACGCAGCTTCGCGCGAAGTGCAAGGTGTGCGCAGTAGGTACGGACCAACAATACACACTGAGCTGAACAACACGCCAATGGTCATGTTCTATGATGTGAGTGCATTTGAATTATGATGTGCGTATTACGCGCGCAGATATCAGGCTGTGGTCAGCTGCAAGCGCACCTAGCCTCGGACCGCACCCTTCGGCTGGCATGCCTGCAAATTTCAACGAATTGTACCACCGAGTGCAAGTGCACGGAATTTGGGAGGCACCAATGAGAGAATGCGCTTGCTTCGGCTGCTGTCATTGGCTTGTCAAAGCCAACAGAAATTTGAGTCGTGGTGGAAGACAAATCCAAACAAATGCGTCCGGGAAGGGGGAGTCAAGATGCCGCGCGAATGGCCAGCGCGAGTTTCCCATAAAATGATATTGCTAGTCAAAGATGCTCGGCGAAGCGGTAGCTCCGTTATGAACGCGGCCATTGTGGCGCCCTGGATGCCCGCTGATAGTGTGAACCTGCACCTGATGCGAGTGGCCGAGTGCCGTTACAACACTGCCATGTGGCGCGGTATAGGCTT